CAGTAGAGCTATTATATATGAACTATATTCCCCTTATTTCGCTTATAGTGACAAAGTGACTGGTAGTTAAATTTTCCCATAATCTGAGTTTCTTTTGAATTTCGCATAACGTTGCTTTCCAAAAGGGTATTCTGATTCAGGATGGACTGCAGTTTTGTTCTATTCTAGAGCTACTCTGTCATGGTTTAAGTTCTGCTGGGAAGGTTGATAAGACCCGGGCGAGGTTTAAACTGCAGTCCATCCAAGATGATAATACCTTTTCGTAAAGCAAACTTATGTAAAATTCAATGAAAACGTAAAGTCTACTCATATCACTGTGGAAAAATTAAATTACCAGTCCATTATCACTTTAAACAAAATAGCGTAAATATACTTTTTATGCCATAAAGCTAAAAATGCTGTTAATTTTCGCAGTTAGTAACAGTTTTTCTTTTTTTTAAAGCTATCAGGAAGCCAATTGTTATCGATATATACAAGCTTCAACTCGTATTTATTGGACTGAGAGCTTGAGAACAAAATTAGCCGTTCTGTACAGCATCATGTAAGTTAGGATGGCCAAAAGGACACCAAATCGTCTGGGACTTCTGAAATCTGCTGAATTACTGCTAACTTATTCATTTTCCGTCTAACCAAGTGTGCTTTACAGGCAAGTAAACTTTTATGAGATGTATTCACCCGATTTCGTTTAAGATGATGAAGGACTGGTAGAAGAATTTTTCCACAATGATATGAGTTGAGCTGAGGTTTCCAATGAATTTCACATACCTTTGCTTTCCCAAAAGGAGGCCAGACCTTCCTTGAATATTCACATTTGCCCTGTCTCCCAAAAAGGCGCTCGTGGCAGTGTAGCCGAGTGGTTCGAGTGGTTAGCGTGTCAAGCTCCCATCCTGCCCTGGCTCGGTTCGACTCCCGCTGAGGTTGTTGATAAGCCCGATGCGAGGTCGAAACTGCAGTCCACTGGTGCCTGGACGAGAACAACTTTTGGGAAAGTAAGGCTATATGAAATTCAATGGAAACTTCAGCTCAACTCATATCATTGTGGAAAAATTCTTTTTCTACCAGTCCTTCATTACCTTAAATGAAATTGGGTGATTACATCTCATATTACTGATTTACTGGTAGTCTCGAAACAATACTTAATGCGAAAAAAAAGTAAACTTTTGTTAAGTCCATCAGCAGACTCAACTGAGTAGCCACTCAACAGAGGGGATAGCTTTTTTCAGTTTATGCAATGCTTCTTAAGGAGTACAAAATGCAGGCATTTGTCAGAAAAACATCACCCTCTAGAACGCTCTAGAAACCTGTAACGCACTGGCCAAGGATGTTGGCTTCTCCCTAAGCGAAGTTTGCCACAGCAGGACAGGCGAAAGCTTATCACAGATGTACCAAGTTCGGAGCATGATATGACTCCTGCTGTGAAACTATTCAGCGATTCTTAGTAACCAAGTGCATATTTGTTTAACCTGGCTGAATCTTATGAAGTATTCTATGATTAATGTAAATCTTGATCCCATCTGGGACCCAGTATTGCCCTCAGCGAGATTCGAAGTTGGATCAGAGGTTAAGAAGCAGGGTTTCAGTCAATGTGAGCCTCACTCACGGCATCCATGACCTCCATATCGTTATAGTATCGATGGCAGAGTGATCGAAAGCGTGAATAAGGGAGAGCAGAGACGCCATTGATCATTTGCAAATTCACAGTATCCTACTTTGAAAGCTATGAACTTGTGAACCCTTTCAAATGGTTAAATGCAGACTGACCTGAGGTCTTCCACGTCGATTTCACCTCGTTTGTTCTTGTCCAGAACTCGAAAAGCCTCTCGCAGATCGCGCTCATCCTGATCCTCCTGCAGTTTTCGGGCGTAGAGGATCAGGAAGCCCTTGATGTCGATAAAACCGGTGGCTAATTAAAATAATTACAAAAAGAATTAAATCAACAGTTGAGCAAATGGGGTGAAAACTTGTATGAGAGCTCATAAGCCCGAAACACCGGCCTACATACAGTATCAATTCAGCCTAAATAAATACTTCCGAAAGTCCGAAAGATGCGTATACCAGACCTCATACAGAACGAACCTTCATCACAAAAAATAGAAGCATAAATTATTGAGAAAAAATGAGTATTGCCTGGGCAATTCGTACTCACCTTCTTCGTCCACCAAATCCGCCCACTCCTTCAGAGTGTCCGGCTTCACAGTCAGATTGAGAGCACGAAAGAGGGGCCCAAGGTCGTTTGTAGAAATCTTGTCCTGCCCGCGCTTATCAAAGCGCTTGAATGCCTCCTTTGCACCTAAAAAGATGGGTTTTAGCACAAATACTTAATGTATACGCAGACAAAGTCCTTCGAGAATCGTCTAGCAACTAGACCTTGCATTTTATTAAAAGAATAGGTGAAGGCCTTTAGGGAGTAGCGTTAATTTGCTAACTAAACCATGGGATGACTTATCAAGATACAAAAGTTATGTCCAAAGAAGTCGGAAAGATCATCACAGACCATCATTCTGAACTGAGTAATTAGTAAATTTTGTTCAGTTATAGGTTTATCTCTATGACGAGATCTGCCGCAGCAGGACAAAAGAATGGTCAACAACGAGGACTTCTTTGTTTAAATCAGCAGTCATGACTCTAAATAATCCTGCATTGATTCTTATTAAGAAGGATTTACGAATCCCATTCTCTGAAACTTTCACAAGAAATGCTAGATCAAATAGTATCAATAAACCTTAGCAAGTAGTCGAAGGATTGCTTAGTAGTATCTTGTGGCATTTTGATAAAGCAAATAAGGCTGATTAAGAAGAGACCGCAATTAGTAGATTGGTTTGATCAAAGAGGTATACTCAATGTGCTGACCTGTGAAATCGAAAGTTCTCAATGCTGGTTGTCAAAAGCGGTTGACTTACATTTAAAATGAAAAGTATATTATCCTTTAGCTCAGAAAAGCCATTGTCATGAGCAATGATTTGCCCAGAAGCATTGGCTATCGCTTTGTTGACAGCCACACCCTAACCCCAGGGAAGGCATTGATACAAAAGCAGACGATTGTAAGGCAGTTGTTTAGCAAATGCAAAAGTCTGGACATTAGCCTGCCTGTAATTTGGAAAGTGCATTGTTGGGGGGACGGCATGCGATTCACTAATTTCAGGAAGTGGAAATAAGGCATAAGAAATTCAGGTATAGCATGCTTTTACGAGTCAATCATGTAATTTTACTAAGCTTGCGACATACATGCTTTGTGAAAAATAATGGTAAATATTCATAGTAAATGGGTTTTAAGTTTCACAATAGATCCTGCATGATAATTTTAGTCATCATATTTCGCATAATGCAATGAAGGAGATATATTTGAAGTTGTTTGACCATG